TTGTCAAAGCCAACAACCGGAATCTTACTTACACTCTCCTTGTTTCTCTCCTGCTCACTTTCCTATGTGTGTTTTTATTTATTGGGAGACCTGATAAGATTACGTGCCTCATTCGACAATCAGCTTTTGGGCTCATCTTCTCTGTGGCAGTTTCTTGTGTATTGGCCAAAACATTTGTTGTGGTTCTAGCATTCATGGCCACCAAACCTGGATCCAAATTGAGGAAATGGGTGGGTGGAAGAATAGTCAGTTACATTATTTTTTCCTGCTCCCTTGTTCAATTAAGTTTTTGTGCTGCATGGCTGATAATGTCACCACCTTACCCAGATTTTGATGCACACTCAATCTCTGAAGAACTCATCCTAGAATGTAATGAAGACTCGGCCATGTTTTGCTGTGTTTTGGGCTTTATGAGTTTTCTTGCTCTGGTTAGCTTCTCTGCTGCTTTTCTAGCTAGGAAGTTACCTGACAGTTTCAATGAGGCCAGATTTATTACTTTCAGCATGTTGATCTTCTGCAGTGTTTGGCTGTGCTTTATTCCAACCTATCTAAGCACAAGAGGGAAATATCTGTTGGCTGTGGAGACCTTCTCCATAATCTGCTCCAGTGCTGGATTATTGGTGTGCATCTTTCTTCCCAAATGTTTTATCATTTTGATGAGACCTGAATTGAACAATAAACATCATCTCCTGAAAAGATAGGTTTGAACCTTTGTCTGTTTGCCTCTGAGTTTCTGTACATACCCATATAATTTGATTGTCCTTGGAACTATTACTATTGGGAGAATTTTTGTTTGGTGGAACAGATTGAATGAACAGCTATTTACCTTATTTTCTTCTCCTGTTGCTTCTCCTTTCGGTGTCATTTTCTCTTCTCTTTCTTCTCTTTTCTCCTTACTATCTTTACTACAAATCAACTATTTCCACCATCCTCCATCTGTATTTTACTACAGCCTGTTTTCCTGTTTACTGCTGAAAAAATTCTAATAAAAATCGTAATATTTTTTTAGGTTGATTTTTGATGGAGATCAGGAGAGGGACCCTACTTTTGCTCCTCTTATCTCTTATTTTGGCCAGATAATTCATTCATTCATTCATTCACTGTATGTTTGAGTGTCTGTTTGAAGATATAAAACTATGTTTCATTGCATATAAAACTGTATTGTTCTTTTCCTCCAATCTGCAGTGCTAACCTTCTTAATCTCCTTAGAAATTGTTTTATTTTATTTATTTATTTGTGAAAAGCTTACAATATAACAGAAACAAGAATAAACAGAAGTTTAAATACAAGAAGTAGGAACTAATAATTGGGAACAATAGGACAGGGATGATAGGCATGATTGTGCACTTATGCCCACCCCTTACAGACCTCTTAGGAATGGGGTGAGGTCAATAAAGGTTAGTCTGAGGGTAAAGGAGTGGGGGTTTGATAACAGAATCAAATAGTGAGTTCCAGACATTGACCACTCTGTTGATGAAATTGAGTTTGGAGTGATTTACATTTAGTTTATATCTGTTGTGCATTCTAGTGTTGTTGTTAAAGCTAAAATATTCATTAAGTGGTAAGATATTGTAACATATAATTTTATATACTATGCTTAAGTCTAATCTTAGTCAGCGTAGTTCAAGGTTGTCTAAGCCAAGAATCTCAAGTCTAGTGCTGTAGGATATTCTTTTGTGAACAGTGGAATGTAGTATTCTTCTGGTAAAATACTTCTGGACTTATTTAATTGTATTTATGTCAGATATACTGTGCGGATTCCAGATAGCAGAGCTGAATTCAGGTATTGGTCTAGCAAAGGTTTTGAATGCTCTAGTTAGCAAAACAGTATTACCAGAGTTGAAGCTTTGTAAAATTAAATTTACAACTCTTAAAGCCTTTTTGGCAATACTGTTGCAGAGAGTTGCACATAAATCATTCGATATGAGAACCCCAAGGTCCTTGACAAAGTGAGGTTCATCAACAAGGTCATATCCACCTAGTTGGTATTTGGTATATACATTTTTGTTAACAATGTGTAGAACAGAGCATTTGTTGATAGATATTTGGAGTTGCCAATTATTAGACCATTCGGACACATAATCAAGGTCTTTTTGAAAGATGGTAGCATGGATGGTGGTGCTGAATAGTTTTACTTCATCAGCGAAAAGGACACAGTTGCTAATAAGGTGATCATAAAGGTCATTTATATAGAGTGTAAAGAGTGTGGGTCCTTGAATGCTCCCTTGTGGGACACCACTGATAACTGGTGCAAGGTTTGATAGGGTGTTTCCTATTTTACTATTTGTTGCCTGTTTGTCAGGAAGGCAGTAATCTACTTGTGAAGGGATCTGGAAAAGCCGTAAGAATTTAATTTAAATAGTAGTTTGTCATATACCACTGAGTCAAATGCTTTGCAGAAGTCAATTTAAATTACATCTATTGCTTTACCCTGGTCGAGAAGTGTAGTCCATATGTTTTTGCAGTGTAGAAGTTGCAAATTGCAGGACAATTTTTTTCTGAAACCAAATTGTTTATTAGAGAGTAAGTTGTTAGACTCTAGGTGGAAGGTAATGCATTGATTAATAATTGATTCCATAACTTTGCATGTGAACACAACACAATGAGATTGGTCTGTAGTTTTCAACCAAGCAAGGGTCACCTTTTTTGAAAATAGGGATGACCTTTGATAAAGACCATAGGTTTGGTAAAGAGCTGCTTCTGAATGATAACTCATATATTATGCTTAGTGGTTCTGCTATGGTAGTGGAGAGCTTTTTTAAGAAGAATGCACATAATCCATCAGGGCCAATAGATAAGGATGGCTTAAGGTGGCATACTGCATTTTCTACGTTATCTTCAGTAAAGTCAATTTGTAGATCATTGCAGTTAGTTGTCATATGGTTAGGAAATGAGGGGCATGAGCCATTATTGTTAACAAATAAGAACTGAACTGAAGAACGTGTTGAAGAGGTTTGACTTAACAGCTTCATCAGTATAGTCTTTCCCATTAGGACCTTTTACAGTGGGATGGTTTTTGAGTCTTTAAGTTTGGTGTTTACAAAGTTATAGAAGGCATGGGTGGATTTTGCGCGTAGAAGATTTTCCTCTTGCTTGCAGTGGTAATAGGTGCATTCTGCCTTTATCTGTTGGCATAAAGTGTTGTATCGGTTTTTAAAGTTAGCTATGTATTTACTTTTGTTTTTATACCTTAAGGGGTTTTTTTAGATTGAAGTTTTCTTATAATTTTGGGTAAATTGTTTTCGTTTGTTTGTTTAGGAGGTTACTAATGGAGTATATAGTTTAATGACTCTTTCAAGTTCAACAAGAAGACGTTATAATGTTCTTCTGTAGTTACAGCCAGAGAACAGAATATGCCAATCAAGAGATGATAAGTCGGCAGCTATGAGTTCATAAATGGCTTTTTAAAATTGTATTTGGGAGATCCATCATTATGATCCTCTTTTAGTGGGTGTAAATTTAGACAAAAGTCAATCATGCCATGGTCACTGTTTGAAAATGTTTCCTGTATTTGTAGGCCATAAATTGAGTTTGAGCCATTGCAGAAGATGAGGTCGAGGCAATTGTTTAGTCTGGTGTTGTTATATACTAATTGATCTAGTCCCAGCATGGTAATAGAATTGTATAGGGTTGAATGAATGGGTTCAGATGTACATTCATTTAGTGTCCAATTTATAAGGGGTAAGTTGAGGTCACCAAGGAAAATAAGAGGGTGTGGGCAAGAGGCAGCCCATGTCAGTAATGAAGTTAGCTTGTTTGCATGAGTTATATCATAATCACGGGCTTGATAGCAAAGTAAGAAGCGGATTGAGGTATTTAAGGACAGATTACAGACGATGGTTTCAGGAAGAGTAAGCTCTTGTATCATTTGAATCTTTTTTAGATTTAGAGGCTTTTTATAGAACACAGCAACTCCACCTCCTCTACAGATTTTGCGATCAGACCGATAAACTTGATGTTCTCTTACAGTGGTAATGGAGTCTGGGAAAGATACATTCAACCACTTCTCACAAACAAATATAATATTGAATGTGGCTGTGCTTAGTAAGATGAAGAATTCATGCATTTTATTTGCAAGGCTTCTTGCATTGAGTAGTTTGGAAATGTTTCTTTTAGGAGAATTTTTGTTAGGTAGAACTGATTAAATATATAGAGCATTCTGTATGTTCTGTTTTCCAAAACTGGTGTGTGTGTGTGTGTGTGTGTGTGTGCGTGCGTGTTTTAGGAGCAAACCAGAATATGTAGCTAGAAAAATATACATAAAAGGCTAATTCACATTTGTCAAATACTGCTGAGAGAACTGAAATGTCATTAGTATCTCATATTTCCCACATAATCTACTACAAACTAAAGATTTGTGAATATGTTTTCTAACTTTCCATCTCATACTGTTTGGTTCACAAGTTCTAAAATTTCTCAAGATGTCTCAAATAGTTAAGTTGATATTCAGGTTTAACTTTTTAAAGATTTTTTTTAAATATTAGATTGATGTGCATCACTACTTATTGGTTTGAGGAGTTTTTGTGACAATTGTACTGAATATTTTATTAGTTACAAAGTTGACAAGTTGGACATATAGTTATCTCATCTGTAATTATAAAATTAACTATAATTATCTATGTACCTGTTTCCAATCCCAGAGGACCATAAACACATGTTGTAAAGTTTGATTACCATTCCAAATGGCAATCCAAATTATTTGTCAGTTGATCACTGATAAATGGACAATGAAAACCTTCCCTAAAAGAGTTGAATGACATTAGGAGGATATTGCATCCATACATGCTAACACTCTGAATGAAGGGAAAAAAAATCCTTAATTATTTATCCATACAATTGGATTTTCTGATTTCACAGGAAACTTCTAGGATTTTTAGGCAAGGTCTTGTAAAATTGCAATTCAATATTCTGATGAATGAAGATAAGTAAACAGACAAAGAAGCTGATTAATTATTGAGGTGTCAGCTATAGTTGTTTTCTTGGTGTTGGTACTAGTAGTAATGCCTCATACAGCACACAAGATTCCAGATACTAATTGTAAAGTTTTTGATCCTCTTCCTATTCTTCACAAGTACTCTCAATCTGGAGATATGACCATTGCAAGCATTATTTCTCATATCTATACTTTTTCCAGTCCAATTCTTTTTGATCGTCACCCTTCCAGCGAACTTCAAGATGAAGTGATGTAAGTTGTTCATTTCTTCGCACATCTTTTTTCTACACCACCATTAATTCACATGACATAAAGGACAATTTACTTTGAGCTGCTAGAACACATTATACTGTATTCACAGATACTGTCTTCAGCATCATAAAAAGGATATTTTATCTCTATATCATTCTTTATTTTGTTATTCAATTTCTATGATTATTCAAGTGTGACTCTATACCAAAAGTCAATATTCTAAGAGTTATGCTAATGCCACAATAATCCATGAATGAATAAAAGCAAGTTCTATTTCTAACAATTCTTAGGTGCTGTTCCTAAGCAAAACTTCCTGGAATAGTTTTATATGGCTTAATATTTAGTTAATTGGGCTTAGTTCTAAATGAAATCTAAAAATTCATAGCCAAAGGTCAATTTTTCCACTGAGTTCAAAGTACCTCAAGCATCTCTGTTGATTGAAAATTATTGCTTGAGGTTTATTTAGGGAACATGAAACCATCCGTATCCTAAAAGAATTTTCAAATGAGAAATATTGTTTGTTCAGGAATACAAATCTATAATTTTTATTTTTCCATTTTATTTTTCAGTGAGAAGTGAAATTATATGTGTATTTTACTTTATTAAGTAATGCAATGTAGTTGAACTGAAATGTAACACGTGTTTCAGTCTTTAACAAAGGATTTAATTTTCATGACAGGGTTGTATTTCAGAGTTACCAATATATTCTGGCCCTGGTTTTTGCTGCAAAGCAGATCAGTGAAAATCTCCAACTCTTGGCCAATGTCACCCTTGGGTTTAATATCTATAATAGCAATTTTAGTCCAAGCTGGACCTTCCTTGCCTCGATGAGACTTCTTTCCATGCACAGCAGATTCATCCCAAACTATAAGTGTGACTTGGGGAACATTCCCATTGCAGTAATTGGAGGACCTGACATCTGTCTTCACATGTTGAACCTTCTGTCTATCTACAAAATTCCACAGGTATTCCCAGGATCACATAAATTTCTCTCAGTTCCCATTATAACTAGTTGTAATTCTTTAGAAGCAGTGTTTTTGTGACATAGGAAAAGGTTAATTCAAATACCAAGGGAAATATTTCAATATGAGGTTAGGCTTGAGGGATTTAATGAATTATTTAAAAGAAAGGATTCATGATGTGTAATAAAATGTACAAAATCTCTCTTTATGAATCATTAAAACAGCTGCATCTTTTTCCAGGTTCTTAAAGCTCCTGTGGAAATTGCTCAAGGCACAGTATTTGCAAAGTATCTGTTTGAAGGAAGAAGTATACATTCCAAATAATTACTTTTTAAATATGTGTAGAGCATCATTACTTTTTAAATATGTGTAGAGTATCTTCACTTTCTTTTTAAAAATTAAACATTCATTTAGTGAAATAGATACTACATGTTATTTTATTAATATAAATCATGGTAAAGTACACATCCTAACTCAATAACTGTGTCTGCCTAGGTATGACAGAGCCCCCTCCCTTGGGAAAGGTGATTAAGGAGTTCTTTGGAGTGACATGACCTTAGCCATTTGCAATGCAGAAGTGATGATTTTTCATCCTTAATCTCCCTATGCACATTTTGCAAAAAGTGTCTCCAAACCATTATTCTTAGCTTCACAAAGGACTTCTGGGGACCATAAAAGGATGGGTAGCTCCCTTATTCCATACGTTGCATGTCTGATATAATGATCCCATTTGGGTGTACTCTGGAAGCTTATATTATATTAGTTAGTTGTTCTTCCACTTTAAGTTGTAGGTATTGTTTCCAAATCTGAAGGTCTTAACAGAACAGAGTCTGAGGATATTGAAGAGTGGGGATAATTGAACAGTAGTGGAAATGCTAGTGGAAAATATCAAGAATGTTCCTCTAACTTAGAATATATGTCAAACATCTAGGTACCAATTGTCCAGTTGATTGCTGTCTGGGTGACCCTTATTTAGCTCCTATGGGATGTTGAAGCCACCTGCTCAAAATTTATAAACTGTATCACATTCATACCAGCTCTGTGTTCAAACCTCGCTTTAAACTTCCCTGATACTTAGAAAGCAGCAATAAATTCAGAAAATATACTTTCATTCAGCCAAGAAAAGGAGACCTTTAACACAACTTTGGTTTTCTTGGTTTCTTTTATAAAATTCTCTAGCTCACATACGGCCCTGCTCCAGTAATGAATAAAGAAACCCAAGATGTATTTTTACAACAGATGTTTCCCAATGAGGTCTTACAACATCAAGGAATCCTTCTGTTGCTTTTACATTTCAGGTGGACATGGATTGGACTTCTTTCTGTGAAAGATGAAGCAGGAGAGAAGTTTGTACAGGATGTAGTCCCCAAGTTCTCTCAGCATGGAATCTGCTTCAATTTTATGGAATGGTTCCCAAATGTAGCATTTTACAGTGATTTTATGGATGTGATGGATAAAGGACTTGAAATATATGAAATTCTCATGAAAAGCACAAGCAGTGTGATAATTATTTTTGGTGAACTTCGGACTATGTTAATTTTAAGAACACTTCTTCGTTTTTCAGAAGTAGAAGATTTAGGATTGAGAGAAAAAATCTGGGTTATGCCAGCACAAATGGATTTTACATCAGTGTCCTTGAACAGAAACTGGGATATATGTTTCCTCCATGGTGCTTTGTCCTTTTCCTCTAATTCAAAGGAAGTGTTTGGATTCCAGGAATTTCTTCAGAGCAGAAATCCAACAACAGAACCACATGATGGCTTTATCCGAGATTTTTGGGAGCAGGTGTTTGAATGCTCATTTCCCAACACTAAAAAAAGAATTAAAAGACCTGAGAACATCTGTACTGGAGAAGAGAGATTGCAGGCCCTCCCTGCTTCTGCTTTTGAACTTAACATGAGTGGCCATAGTTACAATGTGTACAATGCTGTCTATGCCGTGGCACATGCTCTGCAGTCAATGCATTCTTCTAAATACAAGCAAAGAAATTGGATGAATTTGGAGAAGCAGAAGTTTCAGGACCTACAATCATGGCAAGTAAGTCTACACAGAGGTGGGATGTTACTGGTTCAGCCTGGTTCTATAGAACTGGTAGCTCTGAAGAACAGTAGACACCGAACTGGTTCAGTGTGTGCTGCTCTGTTTGCCCTACATGCTCGCCTGGGCTCTTGGCTGTTCTTTATTTCCTGCTTTTTCAACCTCAGCTGCTTTGCACAGCACAGCTGAGGTTGAAAAAGCAGGAAAGAAGAGGAGTTTGAAATGCATACCCATGCGCAGTGCTTGTCAGCTTTCTGGGCAGCACAGCTGAGGTTTTTTAGAAATGGTCTTCACACATGCAAAAAATGCACTCTCACCAGAGGTGGGATTCTACCTGCTGGAGAACTGGAAAATGGCTGGCCCTGCCCCACCCTGCCCGCTCACTCCTTTCCTGGCATGCGTACCATCAAACTTGCCTGCTAAATTGCTATTTTTCCTTTTTTTCCCCCGACCATCAGCTCTTCTGCTGTTCCAGAAGATTTAGATTAGCTAGAAAGCAGGAAACTGTGGCATTTCTTGCTTTCTAGCTAATCTAAAAGCAGAGCTGAACCTTCAATAGGACTGTAGCTTCTATTTTTTTAATGTAGTCTCAGGTAGCCAATGGCAGATAGATAGAACACTAAGTAAATCTGTGATTCTGTGAGCAACTCAAACTGCCTGCCTGCTTTGCCTGATTTTGGGTAAAAGTTGCTCTTTTTATTAAAAAAAATCAATATTTACATAGTGTGTTGTGAGTTAATTTGGTAAGTTTGCTTGTTAGCAAATTTTATGAGTTTGCTTGCAAGCAAATTTTATGTGACAGACTCAGGTAGCTGATTTCAGAAAGATAGATCTCTGAATGAATCTGTGATTCTGTGAGCAACTTAATCTGCCTACCTGCTTTGCCTGATTTTGGATAAAACTTGCTCCTTTTTATAATAAATTCAATATATACATAAATATTTATAATATTTACATACAAGCCATGGCCAGTCAGCAAGCCATGCCCAGCCAGTCATATGACCACCAAGCCACACCCACAAATTAGGCCACACTCAGAACCAGTTAAGAAATTTGAATCCCACCCCTGAATCTACAGCAGAAAACATCAGAACAACGTATAATATTATGTTTATAACTTTTGACTTAAATCTTGAAAAATTCTCCAGAACAAAATCTACTTAGTCTTTTTCTTTAAATTCAATCTGCAAAAGACACTCAATATTCACAATACAAGCCTAAAAGATAGAATAAATTATTATATGCATACCCAAACTAACAAGCCTAAATATGCTCATATATACAAAGAATTATATCCAAGAACCTTGTGATCCTGTGACTTTAAACATACTGTAATATAAGATGAATTCTACATAAAACCCACCAGTGGACATTAGGAGACACATCAGGATTGAGAGACTTCTCTGAGGTTTTCTCTGAGATTCTCTGAGGTTTTCTTCTGTGCAGAATAGAATTTATTTTATAGTCCCCATCCTGGTATGTTCAATTTGACATGCCAATTAAATAATTTGTGAAATGTTTTATAATTCTCCACACATGCATAAAATCACACACTTAGCTGAACCATGCATCTGGAGAATAGATATATAATACCTGAAGGAGAACTAAAGAGCAATCCAAGATGAAAAAGATATGCCATGTGCCATCAAATAAGGGCAATAAGTGTCCTTACAAACAACATAAACATTTTGGTGCAATATTCTATTCTGTTAGATTGAATAGCACAACCAGTAAAAGATTGCTATGGATGATTTCCCAGGATTCCTACAATCAATGATTCACAAGACATTCCTTACAAGCACACATTTTTTCTGAGCAAAAAAAAGAGTGGAGGGTACTAAACTGATAGAAATACCCAAAATCCCTGAAGCCAAGTCCAGGATCCAAAAAGAATTTGACAAACTTGAATAATGGGCTCTAACCAACAAAATGAATTTTAATGTGGAGAAAAGTAAAGTTTAAAGTTTTAAAGTAAGGCAGGAAAAATCAAAGGTATAAGTATAGATTAGGTGAGACCTGGCTCAAAAACAGTAACTGTGAGAGGGACCTTGGAGTCCTAATGGATGATCACTTGAATATGAGACAGTGGCAGCTGCCGCCAAAAAAGCAAATATAGTCTTGGGTTGTATAAACAGATCTACAAATCAAGAACACATGAAATACTGCTTTGTAAAACCCTAGTAAGACCAAGCCTGGAATACTGCAAGCAATTTTTGTCACCATACTACAAAAAAGATGTTTAGATTTTGAAAAAAGTTCAGAGAAGAGCAACTAAGATGATCAAAGTCCTGAAGACTAAAATATAAGAAAAGCAGCTATGGGATTTGGGTTTGGCTAGTCTAAAGAAAATAAGAATTAGGGGTGACATGATAGCAATATTCCAGTATCTTTGGGTCTTCCACAAAGAAGAGGGTGGTCAAATTATTCTACAAAGCACCAGAGGGCAGGACAAGAAAAGTTGGTTGGAAACTAATCAAAAAGAAAGCAAAGGAAAAACTTTCTAACAATGAGAACAATTAGCCAGTAGAAAGCTTGCCTTCAGAAATCATAGGTACTCCATCATTGGAGGTTTTTAAGAAGAGACTAGACCCATCTATGGCACACATGCCAAAAGTGGCACACAGAGCCATCTCTCTGGGCATACCAGCTGTTCCCTATTGCTCTTCTGGGTTCTGGTGTGCACATGCACATCAGCCAGCTGGTCTTTATGTGCGTGAGGGAGCTGAAACCAAAAGATCATCTGAGTTTCAAATGTCTGGTGCATGCACGTGCACTGGTCTTCACATGTACATGTCTTCACTGGTCTTTACATATACATGTGCACCAGAACTGGAAAACCAGGAAGAACTGCTCTTCTGTCTTCTGGTTGTCCCACAGGTGCATGCCATGGAGCTGCTTTTCTGGTTTCTGGTACTCCCCGATTTTGCAGTGCCCCCCCCAACGCTCTCCCATTTCAGTACTCAGTGCCAAAAAGGTTCACCAACACTGGACTAGACTGTCACTTATCTGAAATGGTATAGGTTCTTCTGCTTGAGCAGGGGGCTGGACTAGAAGACCTCCAAGATCCCTTCCAGCTTCTCTTCTCTTCTCTTCTCTTCTCTTCTCTTCTCTTCTCTTCTCTTCTCTTCTCTTCTCTTCTCTTCTCTTCTCTTCTCTTCTCTTCAGCACACAGATGTCCTGAACAAGGAGTGAAAATTGTCCAAAGACCGAAAAAAGCTTCCTTGAAAGAGCAATGAGAATTCAATTTCCATCTATGCAAAAATGCATGTTCTCATCCTCTCATATCTGAAGAACCACAACTCATCCCAACTGAAATGTGAATTGTGTAGTTACTGTTTAAGCGATAGCAAAAGGATGTAACATGCTTTTTAGTTCCTACATATCAACTTGAGATTTAGTAAAAATGAAATAAATTTACCTTCCCTTTATGATATTTCTATTTCTCTCCAATCTAGCTTTGCCCTTTTCTGAGAAGTGTCTCCTTCAACAATAATGTGGGAGAAAAGATATCTTTTGATAGATATGGAGAATTTATTGGAGGACTTGATATTATAAATTGGATCACTTTTCCAAACAGGTCATTTTCTAAGGTAAAAGTGGGAAGAATAGATCATTTTGCTCCTCTGGACAAAATCTTCAATATCCATCTGGAGTTCATCACATGGCCAGAAACATTTAATCAGGTAAGAGACAGGGTCATCTGCTATTTCAGCAAATTTAAAACAAAACAAATCAAAATCCCCAGCTTTTGTTAAAAATTATTTCTTAGCATAATCACCTTTTATGTTTAATTCTGCATGAAACATTTGTTATTGATTGTTTCAGTTATATTTATGAGATTAACTCTTATGTTGTTAAATTAGATTGGATTGTTGCTGAAATATTTCAATTATTGATCAATCAGTCAATCTTATTATCAACTCTAAAATAAACTTGCTTTTGTGAATGTGTGTGCGTGTGCAATACATTTCTATGTATCATTACACCCCACATGTTTTTAATGAAATAAAAATTTCTGATCTGAACTGTAATCCGCAAATCACATGAGAGCATTCTGGCCATGATTTTGGAATAAAGTATAAAAATTTTATGTCCTTGTTTTTTCCTATGCTTTGTTACCTTCCAGTTGTGTTAGCCTGCAGTTATAGCTCCTATATTGCTGTAACCATAATGGCCAGATATTGATGTCTACAGCATATGGGCTGATGGATATAAAAGTCTATTATAGATTTTCACTTACCTGAAACACCAAATTTATCCATTTCATATAGTTGACCATCTCATCAGAACCCACTCTGGGTGGTATAGCACAATTAGATAAAACTACAATATAAAAATGGGGTTGATGGCTCAGTGGTTAAAAATGTGGAGCTTGTCAGCTGATAGCCTGGCTTTGAGACCCAAGTAATAAGGTGAGCACTTATTCCTGCCCCAGTTCCTGATCACCTAGCATTTCGAAAACATGTCAATGCAAGTAGATAAATAGGCACAAGTTTAGTGGGAAATTGACAGCATTTCATACTCCTTTGGCTACAGATGGGACCTGCAGCGTGCTTTCTTTGTTCGATTTTTGTACTATATACTTTATACTATAATGAGGCACTGAATTTTGAATGTTGGAATGCCCAATCCTAGGAACTCTTCAACAGAATCTGGACATTTTTGTAAAAGTTTGAATTTTATCTGGGTTTTTTTCCTTAGCCATATAAATTTCGCTGTTCTGGACATTTTTGTGTGATAACTCTTTTGTGGAGGGGTTGCATGATATGTTTCATGAATTATTAAGTACATTGAAAGACATTTCTTCAAGACAAAAGCTATATTTGACCAAGATATTTATTATTCACATATATTTTTTCAAGAATACTGTAGGTTCTAACAGCCATTTGGCAACTCTTTGATTATTAAACCAATAAGCATTTGTCATTCATCCATTTTAAAATGTTGATTTTCCAGCATGAAGTAAATGTCAAATCTGTCTATCCTTCTATCCATCTGTATTCTAATATATTATTCTTATTTTTATGGGAACAGGCATACCCTATTTCTTTGTGTAATGATCATTGCCAGAGAGGCTTTAGGAAGACCAAGAAGGAAGGGAAGCCATTTTGTTGTTATGATTGTCTTCCATGTCCAGAAGGGAAAATTTCAGCTGAAAGAGGTAAGAGATATCATGTACAGAGGATTCTTTTAAAAGAAAACAAAGTAATGGGAGTGAATCAACTTCTGAGCAGTTATCAAGATAGGTATGCAATCCTATCACTTGTGGTATTATTCATAATAAAAAGTGTATAAATTGATAAAGATATACTTCAGATGCACAGGGGAGATGCAGAAATTCACTATGAAGTACACAAGGAGAGAATAGGAAATAAAATAGAAAGCAATAGCAATAGCACTTACATTTATATACTTCTTCATAGTGCTCACAGCATTCTCTAATTATTATTATCATCATCATCATCATCATCATCATCATTATTGTTATTGTTACCTTTATTGTTAGAGTTCAACATGTGTACAATGATATTGACTGAGACTCCCTTCATGCATCCCCCCAAAACAACTCACAGTGAGGACAGAAATCCCTAATCCAGTCCCAATCTTATTACACTATGTGACCTTGTTGCACAATGCACCGGCCCTGCAAGTCTGTGTTATTTTCCATTCAGAAGTCTGACAGCCCATGGATAGAAACTGTTCTTCAGCATGGTTGGCTATGCTTCTATATCTCCTACCTGATGGTAGGAGAGTGAGGAAGTGCTGATCGGGATATGAGTCATCCCTGAGAATTTTCCTCACTCTTTTAAGGCAGCAAGCCCTAGCGATGTCATCTAGTGGTACCAGGGAACAGCCCACAATGTTTTATGCTGTGCTCACCACCCTTTGTAAAGTCTTCTGTCTGCAGCTGTCAAGCCAACATACCAAACCATAATGCAATATATGAGGATGCTTTCTATTGTGGATGGGTAAAAGGAGGTCATCAGTTGTTGTTCTACTTTATTCTTTTGCAAGACCCTAAGGAAATAGAGTCTCTGTTGGGCCTTTCTGGCCATCTGGGTTGTGTTGTCCAGGTAAGATCTTCGCTGAGGTAGACTCCCAGGAATTTAAAGGAGGAAACGCTCACCACCCAGCCCCCCTCAATGTAAAGTGAGGCAGGTTACTCTCTTTTTCTGGAAGTCTAACGCCATCTCCTTTGTCTTGCTGATGTTTAGATGTTGTTTTCTAGGCACCATGAGGATAATTTTTGAACCTCCCCCCATATGCTGTTTCATCTCCACTTGTAATGACACCCAATATGGTAGTATCATCTCTGAACTTAATGATCACAGTGGATGGGTCAGATAATACACGGTCCTGTGTGTACACTGAGCACACAGCCCTGTGGGGAGCTAACGCTAAGCTTCAGGAAGGTGGATGTGACAAAGCCAGCCCTCACTGTTTGTAGTCAGTCCCTCAGAAAGTCTTTGATCCAGTCGCAGATGGAAGAGGGAAAATCCAAGTCAATCAGCTTTTTGATAAAGATTATTGGCAAAATTGTATTGAAGTCTAAGCTGTAGTCAATGGAAAATATCTTGACATAGTTTTTGAGTTTCTCCAGATAACTCGCTAGAATATGTAAGGCAGTAGCTATGGCATTGTCTGTCGACCTGTTCCCTTGTAGGCAAACTGATGTTTGTCAAAGTCTGCTGGGAGGCATGTCCTAAGGTGTTGTAGAACCAGTCTTTTAAAGCATTTCATCACTACTGACATTAACACAATAGGTCTGTAGTCATTCAGACAGTTAATTGCTGTTTTGTTGGGGACTGGGACAATAGTGGCTGTTTTCAAGCATAATGGAACAGAGGCCATTTGCAGGGAGCTGTTAAAGATCTTTGTCAGGACCTCTGCTAATTGATCAGCACAAGTCTTTACCATTATCCCCAGCACCCCATCTGGACCTGCAGCTTTACTGGGATTCACAGCCTTCAGTGCAGCTCTCACTTGATGTTTATATAGGGTAAGTGGCTGCAAATCAGAAGGCTTACAGGCAGAAGCTATGGGGTCTGGTCTTTTCACCTCGTACAGGTGAAGAAGATGTTCAACTCCTCTACCAATGAGGCATCAGCATTGGCCATGTTCCTCGTGTTGCCCTTATAGTTAGTTAGTCCCTGCCACACTTGCTTCAGGTTGTTATCTGCTAGGTGGTTCTCCAGCTTATATTTGTATTGTTGTTTTGCTGTCTTAATGCTTTTACTAAGGTTTGTTCTGACCTGTCCCCTGCCTTAAAGGCAGAATCCTGGGCTCTCAGAAGTGTCCGTACCTCAGCAGTCATCCAGGATTTACAATTCCCATAGACTCTGATTCACTTGTCTGTTGTTACACTGTCAGTGCCCACTTTGATGTAAGAGAGTACGGCATCAGAATATTCATGCAGGTCTTGTTGTTCAAATACACTCCACTCAGTGGTTTCAAAAACCATCCTGCACTGACTGAAAGCACCCTCTGGCCAGATTACCATTTAACCAATTTCATGACTGGCTAGGTTCTTTTCCTGAGAGAGACATACTTTGGGCATGACAGAAGTGAAAGATGGTTCAATGTATCCAGGTAGGGGTGGGGAATTACTCTATATGCCTGTTTCAGGTTAGAGTATACACGGTCTAAAGTGTTCTTCCATCTGGTGAAAAATTGCATGTACTGCACAAACTTAGGGAGAACTGTCTTTAAACAAGCTTGACTAAAGTCCCCAGCCATGATAAGAGCACCTTCTGGGTGAGTTTGCTGCTGCCTGGAGATGATGTGATATAGCTTAGAAAGCACCTTGATGACATTGGCATCAGGTGGAATAATATAATAATTATCACAGTGATTTCTCTAGGCAGATAAAATGGCCTACATGTGACAGTCATCAGTTCCACATTGGGAGCAATACATATAAACTACTTTGCTGTTAACTCACCATTCACTGTGTATATAGATACAGAGTCATCCTCCCTTGCTCTTACCGGAGTTGCCATTTCTATTAGAGCAATAAATGACTCAGCTTGTCAACTCCACTGCCACATCAGGAATAGCTGGATGTAGCCAGGTCTCTGTTACAATCATTACACAGCTTTTACAGACAAGCCTGCTTGCTGCCATCTGTAGCTCTATTTCATCAATTTTGTGGATGAGGGATTTGGCATTGCTCAAAAAGACACTTGGCAGTGCTAGCCTATGGGGCTGCTTTTGGAGCTGAGCCAACAGACCAGCTCTAAGCTGGACTTTTGTTTCTGCTCCATTTGCTTTCATCAGCATCTCCCCGACCTGACAACAATCCATGGAGATCCCAGAAGCCTCACTATGCAATTCAGTATTTTGTGGGACTGCTGAAAATCTCTGGTAATTCCAGATTGACTTGCAAGCCCGATGTTTAGCAGCTCTATGAGTGTGCAGGAAAAATTTCCTCCTTGCTCTACACTGTCCACACACATTGATACACATATCATTCCAAACACCACACACTAATACCAGAAGCTCGGGGCCACTGTGTGTGAACACATCACCATCTTGGTGGCAGAAAGGCAGGATCAGGAATAGGGGGAGGGGAGGAAAGCAGCCTAACTGCCTGTTTGGTGGTAGAAAGGCAGGGGTAGCTACCGGTTCTGACCAGTTCTATAGAACCCCTTATTAACTTTCCAAGCAGTTCAGAGAACCAGTAGTTAGAATAAATTCCCTTTTGTTTTTTCCATCCTTATTACATTCTTGGCAGAAAGCCTAGACTTACTGTCTCTGAAGGAGATTTTTTCTTTCTTTTTTGATATTTTCTTAAAGGGGAAGGGTTGTTTTAAGCTTTTTACACTGCAAGCAGAGATTTGCAAATAAGCTTTTTAATGACAAGGAATCAATATGAGTGACATTCAACAAGGCCTCTTGGCTTCCTAGAAAGCTTGACATTCAAACATGAGTTTACATACCCTTTCTGAGTTTTGGTCTAAAACTGGTTTTGGGGGAAGTTTAATTCTGTCCTTGGTGAAGTTTAATCCTGTGTATATTGGTGGGAAATTTTCCCTATTCATCTTTGTTTGGAAGGAAAAAGATTAATCTCTATTCCTGAAAAGAAACTGGGTTGAGAAATCTGGCTGGTTCCTGTGTCTATTTTTTCTGGTAATTGGTTTAACAAGCAACACCTACTGTTGTGATTTAATTATTTGCATTGTGTTCGAATTTTTTCCTACCTCATGGTTTCTTTTTCTATCTGGGGAGGGAACCTTCCTTCACTGCTTTAGTGGTATCGGACACTGTCCTTTTGGGGTGTACTTCCAAAAGGCAGAATGCAAGCTTGGCACTGATTTTTACTGCCTTCCAGGGGGTGGGGGGCATGTGACCATTCCTTAAATCTGGATGATTTCCTTAGGAAATCTTGTGAGGTAAGTGAGACCAGCTGGTGTCTTTAAGTGGTGCAAATGGATCTAAGAATTGCTTTTCCTGGGTGTGCTCTTTCTGGAAAACTTAAATGACCTTTCTGGTAAAGGGTATCACTTTATGAGCAAGAGTTGGCTGCTGAAAGTTATCATTGCATTTTAACTATTTTAATTCTCAAGGTGCTCTGGCACTCTGCCTGATTAGTCACACCCACCAACTAAGCCATGCCAACTAACCCAGAACCAGTTTTTAAAATTTTTGAATCCCACCCCTACAGAAAGGCAGGATTAGGAATGGGTGTGGGGAGCAAAACAGCCTAACTGCCTGTGGTTTGTAGAGTCATCATATTGCCCCAACAATCTGGATCTTCATTTTATCCACTTTAAAGGGGTGGAAGGCTGAGTCCACATTGAGCAAGTCAGGATCAAAAGACTTAAACTTCTGGCAGTGAATAGTTAATTTACAATACTGCATATTAATTCACCCGACCTTTGAGTTTCCTATTGAGATCTTCAGTGGCTGGACTCTTCCCTGACCAGAAAGGAGTAATTTCCATATATTTTTTGGCAATATCTGTGAAGTGGTTTGACTGTGTCTTCTTTCTGTGGCTGACAGGCAGTGAATGGTCTAAAGTCACCCAACTATTTTTCATCTCAAAAGGGAGTACTGGAATTCACATTTTACCCACTTCTACACAATCCATCTTTAAGCACTTCAGTAAACTGGCAGTTCAAATCAAAGGTCCCTATGGTATTAAGTGGATAAACTTGTATTTGAACATCACTGTAAAGTAGATCAGAACTTTTTAGTATTATAGTCCTTTTCAATCATCCCTGGCCAAAATATCTTTAAATCAGAGTTTTTCAATGTTACCAATTGCACATAAACACACCTTTGTGTCTGGTTACATACAATTTGGACCAAAGGATAAGTTAGCATGACTATCTTTTTATTCCTCCCATTGATGCTATGCTTATTGGGAAACTGGGAGATAATCTCCCATGTTATTTCCAGCATATTTTGTTTGGGGCATTTATTTGTTTCTTTGGTCTCGTTTTCATTTTCACATCTCAGCTTGAGTGCCTTGTCCCATTCTGTGAATGGGTCATAGGCTATAAATAGATTTTGGGTGGTTAGTTTAGACACAGATAACTGTTCTCAAGTTCAAGGTCAATACAATACAAAGTACATCATGACCATGTTCCCTCAATACAGGACATATAAAGATTAGTGGAACAGATTATAAATTGATTTTTGATTGTTCTTTTTAGACACAGCTGACTGTTCTCCATGTCCAGAAGATCAATACCCAAATCACAACAAAAATGCATGCATTCCAAAAGTCATAACATTCTTATCATATGAAGATGCTCTGGGAATAAGTTTGGCTATTTGTGCTCTTTCTTTTGCTTTCATCACATCTTATGTGCTCAGGATCTTCATTCAACACAGGGACACTCCCATTGTCAAAGCCAACAACAGGAATCTCACCTATGTTATCCTCATCTCTCTTCTACTATCTTTCCTTTGTGTCTTGTTATTCATTGGGAGACCAAATAAATTTGTATGTCTTCTTCGACAACCAGCTTTTGGTATTATCTTCTCAGTGGCAGTTTCCTGTTTGTTGGCCAAAACTATTGTGGTTGTCTTAGCATTCATGGCTACCAAGCCTGGGTCAAAAATGAGGAAGTGGGTGGGGAAAAAAATGGTGAGCTCCATTGTATTTTCCTGCACTCTTGTTCAAGCCATCATTTGTGCTTCATGGCTGATGACATTCCCACCATACCCAGATTCTGATAAACATTCAATGTCTCAAGAAATTGTACTAGAATGCAATGAAGGATCAGTGACCATGTTTTACTGTGTCTTGGGTTTTATGGGCTTCTTGGCCACTGTCAGTTTCTCTGCAGCTTTTCTAGCCAGGAAATTACCTGACAGTTTCAATGAAGCCAAATTCATCACATTCAGCATGTTTGTCTTCTGCAGTGTTTGGTTATCTTTTGTTCCAAGCTACTTGAGTACCAAAGGAAAATATATGGTGGCTGTGGAGATCTTCTCCATCTTATCTTCCAGTGCTGGCTTGTTGGGTTGTATTTTTGCCCCCAAATGCTTTATCATTCTGTTCAAACCTGAACAAAACAGCAAGCATTTGCTCATGAAGAGATAATTTTTAAATCCTGAAAAATTATTACCAGTAACTAATGCAAATTCTGCTTGAATGAGATGAGGTCAAAAAACTCAAAGCCCACCGACTTGTCATCATAGCACATTGCACCACATTAAGACAAAGTACTTTTTTCAAAGTACTTTTATTACAATGTGATCAGATGTACTGAATTTATTATTGTGTAGAATACAGGTAGACCTTGACTTAGAAGCATTTGTTTAGTGACCATTCAACGTTAAAACAGTGCTGGAAAAAGTGGCTTACAAGTGATCCTCCAATTTACAATTGTTACAGCATTCCAGACCTTCTCAAGTGGTTTCTGAGAAACATAGTCTGTGGGGTAAGCTGGCTTAATTTAACAACATTATGCTTCATTTAACAACTGGGGTGATTCATTTAAGACCATGGAAAAATAAGAGTAAAATTGGGATTGACTCACTTAAAAACTGTCTCACTTAAGAATAGAAGTTCCAGTCCCAATTATGATTGAAAATTTAGAATTAGTTGCAATATGACTGCTCTAAACATATTTACATTGATTTTTAATATTCTATGTAATGAAGATATAATAAAGCATTTTCAAAGTCTGATAGAATTCTAGCACCATTATAGATATAGTATCTATCAAGATATTGTCTATATCTGCAATAATTTAGAAGTATCAGAAGAATTAATTTAAATTCCAATTTTAGGGCACTGCACACCAGAACAATTAGACACAAGGATGCTTACAACTAATTCCCAAAAAAACTGTCAAATTATTTACTAAGACAATATCACTATTATTCTTGTCATCCTTCCTAGTCCCACTTATGACTATAACTGTTTTGCTTGTATCTTTACAATTTATATTGTTTTATTTGTTTCCTGGTATATTTTTAATGCTTATTAGTAACTTATGATTATCAGTGTTGTATTTTATGATTCTTGATGAATGTACTTTATTTTTTTCTTCATGAACACTGAGAGCATATACACCAAAGACAAATTCCTTGTGTGTCCAATCACACTTGCCCAATAAAGAATTCTATTCTATTCTATTCTATTCTATTCTATTCTATTCTATTCTATTCTATTCTATTCTATTCTATTCTATTCCATTCCATTCCATTCCATTCCATCCCATCCCATCCCATCCCATCCCATCCCATCCCATCCCACCCCATCCCATCCTATCCTGTTCTAAAGCATGAACATTTGTAGATCACAATGAGAAAATCAACTTTGTAATATGACTTTCGCCTGTCGTAAAGCTGCTTACCAATATCCAAAGACCTGGATTAATGGAAACAGATTCTTAAGCATCTTGAAGTCGGGATGTTTAAGAGTCTGTTTCAATTAAGCCAGCTCTTAGGATATTGAGCAAAACTCAAATATTTGCAGTGAAGTATGGACATATAGAAAAGAGAACACTATTTAGACACTATTCTCCTTTATTGGAGTTTCAGTCTCCAGAATTGAGAATTCAGTACTTAATTCTTTGAGTACTTTGAGAATTCAGTAATTAATTCTTTGGAAACTATTTGTCTGTACTGTATACAACCTATTAAGTTTACACATAGGTTAGAATAACAGAATTGGAACAGATCTTGGAGGTCTTCTAGTGCAATCCCATGCTTAGGCAGGAAACCCTACACCACTTCAGACAAATGGTTATCCAATATCTTTTTTAAAACTTCCAGTGTTGGAGCATTCACAATTTCTGCAGGCAAGTTATTCCTCTGATTAATTGTTCTAACTGTCAGGAAATTCCTCCTTAGTTCTAAGTTGCTCCTATCCTTGATTAGTTTCCACTCATTGCTTCTTGTCCTGTCCTTAGGTGCTTTGGAGAATAGCTTGACTCCCTCTTCTTTGTGGCAGCCCCTGAAATATTGGAAAATTGCTATTATGTCTCTCCTAGTCCTTCTCTTCACTAGAGTAGACATATCCAGTTCCTGTTGCTCTTCTCTGCACTCTTTTTAGAATCTCAACATATTTTTTACATTGTGGTGACCAAAACTGAATGCAGTATTTTAAGTGTGGCCTTACCAAGGCATTATAAAGTGGTATTAAGACTTCCCATGATCTTGATTCTATCCCTCTGTTTATGAAGCCTAGAACTGCATTGGCTTTTTGGGCAGCTACAGCACAAGGCTGGCTCATATTTAAATGGCTGTCCACTAGGATCCCTCTCACAATTATTACTGTTGAGCAGGGTACCACATACCATGGTACCTGTGCATTTTGTTTTTCTTAAATGTAGAACCTTACTTTTCCTAAATGTAGAACCTTACTTTTTTCACCATTGAATTTCATTTTGTTAGATAGTGCCCAATGTTCAAGTCTGTCAAGATCCTTCTGTATCTTAAGCCTATCTTCTGGAGTGTTGGCTATTCCTGCCAGCTTGGTTTCATCTGGAATTTTGATGAGTTCCCCATCTATCCCTTTGTCCAAGTCATTGATGAAGATGTTGAAGAGTACTGGGCCTAAAACAGAACCTTGGGGTACTCCACTGCATACTTCTCTCCATGTAGAGGACTGGACAAACATCCTTGCCTTCCTTTTAAATTATCATTTGAGATATTGAAATATCCAAGATCCAAAAATGGTCTTTATAGTCCTCAACATTCCTCCATCAGGGACGGCTTCAAGCCATGATTTCGAAAAGAATTCCACACTCCATTTTTCACAATCTATCTTCTATCTATACTAGATTATGGCTATAACTATCATCATGGCATAGCAATGATAATCATTATCTGCTGTACATGCCATAAACATAATTCTAGTTCACTGTCAATCTACATCTCTTTCTAAATGAAATCATTACAATATTGCACTGCTGATCATTAATCCATTTCAAAACTGTAGATTCTACAAAATGATTGACACCCCTAGAAATTTGTTATTTCCATAATGCTCCAATATGCTTCTGGTTCATTTGTAGATAGACACATTCTCTTTCTTTGCATAATATATTAACTTCTCTATGGTGATATACTGTCCTACTTTTGTTGTTGCTCTAGATCATGGGTGTCACACTTATGTTGGCATGGTGGCATCATGTGACATATTGGTATTATTTTCCCCTTCACTAAATGGGCATGGACGTAGCCAATACAAGACACATCTGGCCCATGGGCCAGGAGTTTGACCGCCCTGCTCCAGATTGTTGGCTATCAAGTCTGGGTCTAAAATGAAAAAAATGAAGGGAGGAAGTGAAGTCTGTTGTATTTTACTGCTCTCTTTTCAAGCCACCATTTGTGCCTCATAGGTGATCATGGTCCCATCATTTCCACATTTGTATAAACATTCAATATTTCAGGGAATTGTAGTGCAACACAATGAAGGATTGTGACCACGTTTCATTGTGTTTTGGGATTCATGGTCTCATTGACCCTTGTTGACTTCTTGTCAGCCTTTTTAGCCAGGAAATTATCAGATAATTTCAACATAGCCAAATTTGTTACCCTTGACATGTTTTTGTTCCACAGTGTTTGGTTTTTCTTTATTCAAGTCTACTTTACCATTGTATTTGGACCTGAACTAAGTAAGAAACATCTACTAATGAAAAGAACGTACTGAAAACTAAAATGTTGCCATGAACCAAAGGAAGAAACTGAAGCTTCACAGTCATATTGAGAAGGATTTTTTTTATATCCTGAAGAAATTTTAGGATGATGGTGACTAAAGATAAACTTTTCATCCCCATTCACAGATTTAATCAAAGTTCTCTTTATTTTCTTTGAATTTAACTTATCTAGATAGAACTGAGAAGATAATTGAGATCTTGTTTACTTTCAGAAAAGCTGAATGGGAGGCTGCTTTGCTAGCAAGGGTGGACTTGCTCACTTGTAAGAATGAAATAGAAGACAGCTATTGCTTATCTTGCTGTCCAATTGCCTCATCATTTGGCTATGCTTCCTCTGCCATGTTTGTCGTATTTCAGAGTTTGAAACATCCACCCTCTAAAATGACACAGATACAACATTAGTACCATTCAAAATATGTAACATGAAAGCAAGCTTCTCATTTAGCATACATTGTTTTGGTAACTTTCAATGGGAATAAACTTCTTATTCTTATTCTTCCTTAGTCCATGCGCGCACAGACACACAAAGACATTTGCTAATAAAATGTTTTCTTCTTTGATACCTTTTGCAAAACCACCTGTATTAATCATAAGAAATATGAACATGATGTTTCTTGTCATTATTAAATTATCATTAAACTTAGTTCTCTCCATGTCTCAAGAGAGATACGATAACCATCAAAACTGAAAATCAAAACTGAACTGTGTGCAATTCCCAGCTAGACTTGGAGATAGAGATACAATAAGCAGTTCTGTAAGATTTCAGGTAATTATCAAATTAATCCCAATTATTTCTGTTTCTTTTACAAGTCCCTGGGCAAGTGAGATATTAAAACAAAATTTTAATCAAAGACAAAGGTGTACCATTCTGATCTGGATTTGAAGTAACACTTTTTAAAATTAAAAATGTTTATTTGACTATAAAGGCCACCTAAACCAGAGTAGTCTTTCAAATGAGGCTATGCTATTTAGCAAAGAATTCAATAAGAGATAATGTGAAGTCAAACAAAGTGATACCACCCCCCCCAAAAAAAGGAATTATGTCAGTTTTCATCCTGGTTGTAATATTTTTGGCCGATGTGCTCTGCAATATTCCTCACATGAATTGCATCATCAGTGAGCCTCTTCCAATTCTTCATAAATACTATCAGTTAGGAGATATTATCATTGGTGGAATTTTGTCTCAGATCTACATATTTTCAAACACAATAACCTTTCAGGAACAACCTTCTACTGACCATTTTTATGAAACTGAGTAAGAAACATAAAATGTATTTGTGAAAGTTTTGCTCTATTCTGTCTGAATCTTCTTTTGCTAATCTTTCCTTCCATCCAATTTCCCTTATAAAGTCACAGATTGACTGTGCAAATCCCCATTCATAAACGCTGCAATTGCTTAGGAATGTTTTGATTATCAGATGCAACCAAA